CTGAAAGGGAGATAAATATTTGGTCTCACCTCTCTTACCCTTCACCATTTCATAGAAGACATTTGCAGGGAGCGTCAAATGCTGAGCAATGTGGTAAAAAGCTGACCTGCAGCTTCAAGTTTTCTCAAGTCAGCCTATATGCCTCTCATATCCACACATCCCTGAGAAGTGCAGCTAATTTGTCATGCATATATATACTTAATCAAACTCCAAACTGACAAACGGGTAGAAAGCACTCTGGAAATTCACAGCTAAAAGCACTGCTAGAATTCTGAAACTGGCCAGCATGCTCCTCTTCCTAAATAAAAATGCTTGGAAGGGGCAGTCTTAGCTGCCAAGATCCACTGCATCTGCGCTATGCCAAAACTGACACACGATCCCCTTGGAGAGGTGAGCATCGAGTCTGCACGTAAGAGGCAGGGTTGGGTCTTCCAATCTCTGAGGTAGCACACACACAAGGGGGGGGGCACACACCACAGAAATCATGACACATCCACTGTCAAGCATGGAGAAATGTAATTTCAAAGTTTCATGTGTCTATAGAAAATACAGCAAAGCAGCCCTACCTCCCACTCCTGCCCCTTTCCCTTATTTTCCCAATTCCCTACATCCTGCATCCTCTTTAAGAGGAGAACATTACGCAGGGCAGTTTATGATACTTTGGTTGAGAGTCATGCTGCACTGAACGGCATCTCCTTACTAAATTGTTCAGATTTACCATAGAGTTCTACATTAGCAGCAGGAAATTATTTTATTCCTACAACTGAAGGAGACCTTCATCCTAGCCCAGTAAAGAAATCATTTTAAAAAGAAATAAGCAGCTTAGCTGAAAAGATTTAATGTTAGTGTTAAGTGTTAACACACTTGCATGTGAAATCAGACCATCTCAGAAAAGGTGCTTATTTACTATATAGAAGCTGTGTGGGAACACTATACTATGATTTAGGATAGAATTGAAGATTAAGATTTTTTTTACCTGAAGAATTTTTAACATTAGCTCTGCATTCATCACTGACATCCAGAAAATAACAAAAAGATTGGAAACAAATTACTCTAAACAAGCTTATCTTCCTATTTTATCACCAATTAGCATTGAGAAATGAATGAAAACACCATTTCAGAAACAGAAACTGGTTGGGCCACTGCATGAATCAGAAGGCAGATAAAATTTCAAGGGATATAACCACACAGTGTTAGACACATTGGCCTTAGACTTGACAACTCTCTTTCAATTCCCAGCTCCACAACACTTTCTTTTTGACCTCTGAAAACTTCTTGTGCTTTTCAATTCCAATCTGGGAAAGGGGTATAACTGCAATTCCCCACGTCACACAGATGTCGCAAGAATAAATCTCCTAAAGATTCTGAAACATTCAGGTGGTGCAACGATGGGGTCCATACTAGCAGTTGAGAGAGTCTATACTTCTCTCTGGTAGACTTTTAAAGTATTTATTGCTCTCCACTGCTTCTCCTGCTCTTATTCACATAAAGATACTACCAGCATATGGATGTAAATTGTTAGAACTACTGCAAGTGTAATCTCTCCCCAGATCTCACAAACACACTTCCATTTCATAGTGTAATCTCATTTTCTAAATATTAAGGATCTGTTTATTCACTCATCAATTAATTCTCAAAGGAAAAATGAAGCTGCACATTGTAATACTCTGTGTGAGAAATTGCTATTTTTATTAGTTTAAGCTGTTGTGTATTTGTAGGCTACAGATCCTGCAAGCCTTTGGTGGGAGGAGGGTATTGAACAAACAGAGTACTTGCAAGACCAGCCCATTAAAGCCCAACATGATAATAATAAACATACATACTGAGCTATTACACATAGTCACTATGAAAACAAACTCTCATTGCGTCTAACAAAAATTACACAACTGTGCAAACACAAGGCACTATTGTGTCCAACATGGAATGTAAGAAAAAAGATAATCAGCACAGCAGCATACTTTAGAGGGTTGTTTCATATAGTATTATTGCTTATTTTTTAATAATACACAAATGCCACAGAAATAAAACAGGAGTGCTAGCTGCAAGGGACTTGGATGCGGGAAAAGCTTTACAGCTCCCCTACCAGCAAGGGTGGCACGTTCAGCTAGATGCATTCACCCTCGGTGGACTTCCTTCTGAGATTATGTTTATAACAACTGTTATGAATATGAGTATCAAGCAATGATATCCTGGAACACAATTTAGAAAATAACTCAAATTAGTATCACAATTTAGGCCTGAAATGAGCACAGAATTTTAGATTTTGCTTAACATGAAGCACCCAAAAATTCTGCAGATTTTAATGTGACAAGCCTCAAATTCAGAGTTAATTCAACTGTTGCTACCCTGGAATCTTAATGAGCGAACACTAGGGTGGGGTGCATTTCAAATCTGAGTGTCTAGAGTTAGCCTTTATTAATCTGTTCGTAAAACCTTGATAGCAAGCAGTATTTCTCTGACATGCTGGACAGCCATGGATCTCACCAAAGTAACAGGAAGCTGCAAGGTATAGCTTTAGAAATCAGGCCTTGAACTCATATGGTATTTCGACACCAAACATAATGAATTTAAGATATTCATACTTAAGGCAATAGCTATTAGAGAAACACAGTGTTTGATGAAACAATTTGAAGAGAGCATATGTGTATTTGCAAGCAAAGCTGCAACAAGGACAAGAAAATGATATATGGCAACAGCCTTCCTCAGCTCACACAGCATCTCAACAAGCCAAAGAGGTTTAATGATTTTCAAGATTAAGGCATTTGTTAGGGTTAATTTACCCCACATTGCTCACTGTCCACAGAGCAAAGGGATCAGCTATAAATATTTCAGGCAGACTGGGAAAACATCTGCAGGCTTTTAGGGCATAGTCAGAAATAATTGTATTAGGTGATTTCAACATAGGCTGCATAAATGCAACAAGTGATAATACAAACTGTGTAATGGAAGGATTGGGAGCCTGTCAATTTAAGAAATCTGCAATCATAAATACCATAAGTCAAAAAAATGATGCAAGTATTGGAATGATGAGGTTGTGAGTTCCTCAGACAGCAGGGAGGATATTGACCACTATGTAACAAAATTAACAATAAGTAGAAATTTAATATAAAAAGGGTATTGAGGAAACGGGTACTTTGTGCATTCAGCAAATTGTCCATGATGGGGTATCTATAAATTTGGAGATGGTGGAATTATTTTCAGAAACAGGTGTCTGATCCATTACTATTTTTGGACAGGAACTGAATGTGCTATTTGTCTGTGTTCTTCCAAAGAAAAAAAATAGAAATATGAAAAAGAGTAATACTGTTTTGTCTCAAGCAGCTAGGATAGAAAGCATCTGATTAAGCAGTGAACAGAAACACTCATCTGCTTCTACAAACTTCTAAACTAAACGTTAGTATGCCAGTGCTACTGTGAAAGGCAATATTGAAGGGTGTTAAATATTTTGTAGCATGCTTGGAATAGTTCATGTAGGTTCAGAAAGGCAAAGGAAGAGCAAAAGGTCAGGGTATAAAATATGGTAATACAGATGAAAGAGAAAAATGAAATTGCTGCTGATATGTTAGAGGTGATTATGGAACATTACAAATATTTCTGCAAATACGAATCCAAAAATCACTCAGAAGCTCCCACAGCTGTTTCTTTAGCTCTTTTAACTTAGTAGGGTTTCAGCTGAGCAATTAGACTTAAAGAAATTATTATAGCATGTTAATTTTGATTTGTGAAGGTCAAAGTATAATCTATTAAATTCAAGGATCTTCCTTTCTTAATGAGATGTTTATAATTGACTATGATGAGAAAATGGACAGGACTGCAAGGTGACAGATTTTTAACTAAGATTCCAATATGGCAAAAAAATGCACTGTAGTGAAGATCTCAGAAAATCCTAAACACCCTTCAGAGTCTTCTCTTAATAAACATAAATAGAAACATGGACTAGCATTGCCAATGCAGAGCCCAGTGCAGGATCATGTTTTGAAATTTCAACTTTTGCTTCTTAGACCATTGCTTTAGACCTCCTTAACTGTGTTATTTCTCTCAACAGACTACTCGCCTCCAGCTTCAGGCACTCTCAAAATAAGCACACCACTATTTTTTGTAGAACACGTTCCACAGAGGTGAGTTGTCAATTATAAAAATGTTGTATGGTAATTATAAGAAAAAAAATGTTT